TTTAACATATTTTCAGGCGAGAAAGTAGCTGTGTAAACATCAAATATCTGCTCGGTTTATCAAGATATCGCATATTTGCAAAAGTGCTTCGACGTTTTCAGAGACGTCTGTTACCCATCAGCTCGATAGCGAGCCGGGAGCTCGAGGGTTACTGAAGCCGCCGAGAACGTCACAACTCCCGGCACATCATTTTCAGATCACCGCGGACCTTTGCTACTCAGGTTAAACGTAACATATAAGTCACTTAGACAACCTAAAAATGTTATTGTTGGTCTTTTTTCAGTGTTTTATTTGTTCATGAGTAAATCAGTTTGGCTGAGATTAAAGTTATTAGATTAGATTAGATAAAACTTTATTAATCCCCCGGGTGGGTTCCTCCTTGGTTTTTACACAGCTGACTAAACGTCAAAAAGAAATCTGATTAAACAGAAGTATGAGATGGTCGAGAATTTACACCAGTGTCCTGTTATATTTTAGATAGCAAGGAGCAGTCGGCCGAGTTTATTAAACTCCACAGAGACAGCGGTGACGCTAATCAGAAGGCTAGGCCGGGTCCTCAGGAGGATGCAGCCCATGAATTTGGACACGACCAACGCCTTTATCCTGTCTTCCTTCTCTCACCCCAACCAATCACAGCAGATGACCCCGCGCCTCTCTGAGCCTGGTTCTGCCAGAGGTTTCTTCCTGTTAAAAGGGAGGTTTTTCTTCCCACTGTCGCCAAAGTGCTGCTCATAGGGGGTCATATGATTGTTGGGCTTTTCTCTGTATGTATTATTGTAGGGTCTACTGTACAATATAAAGCACCTTGAGGCGACTGCTGTTGTGATTTGGTGCTGTGTAAATAAAACTGAACTGAACTGAGGCCACTTTATAAAACAGAAGGTCAGTCGGCTGCTTCTGGTGCAGCAGGAGGGGAGGCAGAACACCTGTCAGCAGGTTAGGTTCACAGATGCTGTTACCATGGTAACTCACTAGCAGAATCTGCTCCAAGGATCAGGACCGGACCCTCTCTAGAGTCTAGACTGTGTGTGTGTGTACTATGTTTATATTTCTTTGTGAGGGCCAACAGTCACGGGGACAAAGCACCCGTCCCCACGAGTTTGAAGACATTTTTGAGACTGAAGATGTGGTTTTAGCGTCAGAGTTATGTTTAGGGTGGGAAGCAGCTGGGAAGGCATTATGTCAATTAGATGTCCTCACTATGATATAAAAACGTGTGTGTAAGAGTAGCGTGCTGCACCATCATGGAGGTTGTAGCTCGCGCTTCTGTCGTCATTCATCGTGTTGCTATGGCAGAGCAGACAGAAGAACGAGGCTGCGCGCGCGCGCACACACACACAAACACACACACACACACGGTTACAGGTTACCGGTGCGCAGCTCTCAGGTGCGGCTCGTGCACATACCCACAGCTCGGTGCCCCAGTTGCAGCTCATGGTTCTTCCTCTGGTCCTTCCTCGCGCTCTTCGTCTCGGTACCGGTGATCAGCTGCTGCAGCCCACGGCACGCATCCTCCACCTCACCGACCTACACACACGGAGCTCCGTCAGTCTCACCTCCACCTGTATGTCTCTGCTGCATCTGAGCAAGCAAAGAACGCGGTCACGCGCAGCACGTCCCCGGAGCACCCTTTGTCATCAGTGAGGAGATGCTCAGATTGCGAGAGTTGTGCGCATGCGTAGTAGCAGGCCCACCCTGCCTCTGCACAAAGCAAAGCGTGACGAAATTACCTGCAGCTGACGTTACATGTTCATGGTGATATTTGATCAGCAGGGGCGCTCTTCTTACAATAACTAAACTATACTTCCTGTTTGATGACGTCATGTCTTCCTTTTAGAGAAGAGGTTATTTTTTGCAACACATGATGAGGTCAGACTGCAGGATTTCCAAAATAAGTTTATAACTCTCAAAACCCAATGGAAACAACACACACACACATGATCAAATCACATGCTGGGTTTGCAGAATGAAGAATTATTTAATACAGTTTTATTTATATAGCGCCAAATCACAACAACAATCCCTCAAGGCACTTTATATTGTAAGGTAGACCCTACAATAATACATAGAGAGAAAAACCCAACAATCATATGACCCCCTATGAGCAGCACTTTGGCGAAAGCGGGAAGGAAAAACTTCCTTTTAACAGGAAGAAACCTCCGGCAGAACCAGGCTAAGGGAGGGGCAGGGCCATCTGCTGTGATTGGTTGGGGTGAGAGAAGGAAGACAGGATAAAGACATGCTGTGGAAGAGAGCAGAGAGATCTATTAAACAGTGTTGGGAAGGTTACTTTTAACATGTACTCCACTATAAATTGCAGATTACATGGCCCAAAATGTATTTTGTAACATATTCCATTACGTTACTCAATAAGAGTAATGTATTCTGAATACTTTGGATTACTT